ATATATATATATATATAATCTATAAAATTTGTAATCTATAGAGAATTCGCATGTAGCCTAAAAATCAGTTTATAGAGATAAAATTTAGAGAACTGTGGATAGATGATATTATACAATCTTCGAAATATTGCACGCGTTTATCAAATGCTAACAAAATATAGTAAAGATAAATATAATATATCATATAAGATTAAACGGGGGTTAACTGAGGACGTAATCATCAATCTTTGTCCTAAATTAACCTCTTTTTGTTGTTTCTTACAAAAGCGCAAACTCCAAAATTTGCAACCTTTGTAGCTTCAGTTTGCTTCCTACGACACCAGATGTAGCTGAGTCATCCAATCACGAGAAAAACTGTCGGTGACGTCAAAACAGAAGGAAGTTAGTTGAGCAGAAGTTTGGATGTAAAGTTATTCGTTCAAATGTGATTAGTAATGGCTGCGAATTTACCACATGAATTTAATAGATACGCCAAATACTGCAAGCACTTAAGGAGAATTTTGAAGGATACGAGACATTCTTTCGAAGATATCGCTAGAAGTGGCTATTTCGACGAAGGTAAGGCAAAATCTATAATGTTATTGTGTCTGCAAATTGCGACTGTAGTTTAAGCGACCTTGTCTCATTCTGGAAAGTTTAGTTTTTTTTTCTTTTATTTTTTAATAGAAAAATTAATATTATGTCATCATCTTTGACTATAGCAGTTTTCAGAATTTTGTTAGAGAGAGAGAGAGAGAGAGGTTTAAAGTGACATGTCCCTTTAAATCTATCTATTACAAATGTAGCTCAACAAGTTGTTTTGTTTTTGAGGAAATTTTTGCTGATGTTATTTAATTAAATATCAAATGGGATGACGAATTCACACCCCTTCAATGAAATTTATAGAAAAATAATGTATTAAATTTATTGATATATTTGTTTTTATGTAATAATATAATTTAAATAGATGTTAAACACCAAATTTAAATAATTTGTGTGTGATTTAAAAAGTATTTTTAAGGAATTTGTAATGAATAGATTTAAAAACTGGAAAGGAAAACAATAAAAAAAATTAATGTTTTTTTTTTTATTTCATAAAACAAAAATAATGAAATTTTGATTATGATAAAATTTTAGTAATTTAATACACATTTATCTTGAGATATGCCCATTTATTAATAATTTTTTCTGTTTTTTAATCAAAAGAAAGTTTAAAATTATGTTTATCTCCTTTCAGTTTTTAAAATGTGATTTTCCTTGTTTTTGTTTTTAATTAAATGTTTTATTTCATACATACATACATACACACTGTATATCATAAAAAATTGTTAAGAAATAATGTATTTAAATTCTATTTATAATCTATTAAAACAATAGATAACATAATATATTTTGTAATACAATTTCTCTTTGTCTTTAATANAAACCATTAAGCATTGCTATATCATTAATTACTCATTTACATTGATAGTTCTGTACATTTTATATGTTCTTAGTGTTCCTCTGATTTATACATCCTTCTTTCATGCTATGTTAAGTTTCCAGTAATTTGGTGCTTAGCTATTGCTGGGTATACCAGCTTATATAAAAGTAGTAAAAAGATGAGTACTTGTTAGAAATTTAAAGAATATTTTCACCTTATATCATTCATGATTTTCACTTGGTTATTAATGCATTTAAGCTATAAATATATATGGTTTTAATATACTAATAAATTCATATAATGGCAACAATGTTTTGGGTAATTAGGCTAGACTTCTTATTTAAATCAGATTGGCTTCTTAGTTAATCATAAATGAAAATTTTTAATAAATACATGTCATGAAAACAAATTCATTATTAGTAACACGTGTTTAAAAAAATTGTATTTTTAAGACTCTTCCTTAAAAAATGTTATCTTTATATCAAACTAGCTGCAAGGACCCGCTTTGCTGGGTTTTTATTTGTTCGTACATTTGTATGTAATATAGTTTTTTTTATATATAAAAGACTGTTTTTCTAAGTAATCTAGAATCTAGCTGCAAGGACCCACTTCGCTGGGTTTTTATTTGTGGGCAAAAAGTAACGATAGTGAAGATTAAGATAATTACATTATAGCCAATCTTACTCGTTTTCACAGAATGCAAGAATTAGGTCTCCATTTCCAGACTAATTAGAGAATTTTTACGTCCAGTCAAATGAACTATTTTCAATTTGATCAATTTTCTGGAACATTTACAATCCTTCTATAACCGAACGAATTCGAAAATTTTTAAAATTGAAATAGAAAATCTTCCACTTTCAACCATTTTCAAGTTCATATCTCCCACATCCTTACAGCTATCGAGACGCGACCACCATAGTGCACGAATGGAGACTTGGGGCTACTACCACATACAAACCTCATTCATGTGTGATGTGTAGTTTTGGCTGAAAAGTGAAATATAGGGACACACACGTCCATTTTTATATATAGATATAGATATTAAATTTTAGGAACTAAATTAATATGATGTTTTTGAAAGACTCGTATCTTCTTTTGTAAAATATTTGTCAATATTATAAAAATCTAACATTTCTATGTTTAATAATTTTAGTTTTTGTATTGTTTATGCGCTTAAATATTTTTTTGTAATAACTTGGGATTTTAAAGACTGTTGTAGATATTATATATTGAATCTTTATAAAATATTAATTGAGTTGCTTAGTTTTGCTAGTAAATTTCTTTACTAGATTATTTATATGTTCATTTTATTAGATAGATGTTTCATTTCCTATAATTTTTGCACTGGAAATTGGTTTTGTCTGTCTTGTTTATTGTTAGACAAAGTTAATGGAAAAATTATTATTAAACATTTATAAAAAAAAAGTAATAATTCACTGACCTGAAATTTTTAACTTTAAGAGTATTTTTAACTTTTTTATATTACTTTATTTATTTGTAAACATTATAAATATTACCGAATTTACTCGCATATAAGACAAGGTTTTTATTAATTTTTCATTGCTTCAAAAACCTAGATCGTCCTACACGTGCGAGAGAAGAATTCTTTGCATTTTTGCAATAATTTTTGTGAACTGTGTGTTTGCATTTTTACCAGATGCTCACCCTCTGGTATTTAAAAACAAAAGTATTTTATCTGGGTCATTTCAATCATTCTTGTGTATTGTTAGGAGTAAAGATGAATAGCAATAGGAAAAGCAAAGCTTTTGAATTGAATTCAAGATTGAAATTCCAAAATCACATGGGAGCACAGTATAAGTTTTAATCCATTCCCATGTGGAAACAGATGATTTTTGGAGAAACTCATAAGTGTAAACAATGGAATGGATTTGACTGTTAAGAATTGGCAAAAAAAGGTTCTTGTCCAGCTTTACATTAACAAATTATGTTGTCAATTTTACAAGATTTTTCATTAAAGTTTAAAATGCCAGTAATTTTTGCAGGACAATGTGTGCATTTACATGCATTTGACATTTTATTTGTGATTTAAATGAAATAAAATTAAATTGTATTACCAAGTCTAATTTTCTTTATCTTTAAAGTCACACCTTGTCCTATATGCAAGATCATCTTATAAGTGAGTAAATATGATATTTAAAAAATTCTTAAATATCAGTATTATAATAATTGAAAAGAAATTTTGCAAAACAAAAGATTGATATATGGTACACTTATAGAAATCTTTTTTAAAAAAAATATGTAGGTAAAGAGAGATATATACATTCATATCAGTGGAAATCAAATGAATATGAAGGTAGACAATCTTAATTATTTTAATTTTTTTTGAACATATCTTTTTTCAAATGTGTGCAATCTATGTAATATTTTCAAATATAAAATTACATAATATAAAAAAATAAAATAAAACCATTAAGCATTGCTATATCATTAATTACTCATTTACATTGATAGTTCTGTACATTTTATATGTTCTTAGTGTTCCTCTGATTTATACATCCTTCTTTCATGCTATGTTAAGTTTCCAGTAATTTGGTGCTTAGCTATTGCTGGGTATACCAGCTTAATTATGGGTGTTCTATGAGATTGCATCACCTAACAACTGTAAATGTCAAAAAAAAAAGATGTAAAGACCTTTGCTGGTGTTATATTAATGTTCTTTAATTATCTTATTTAAACATTAAGAAGCATAGCCCACTCTGCATTGAAAAAAGAAAAGTTAGCTTTTGTTATCTCTCAACCAGCATAGTTCTCAATCTCACTGTTAATCCTCTCACCATCTCCTGAATCATCTGACAAAAACAAGGAGGAAATTTTGCTGCATAGTTCACAACACTGGAGGGAAATGGATAAATGTCATTTTCACTTTTAAATCCCAATGGAAATCTCTTCTGAATTTGAGCCTGGAAGTCTGGGACTGTGACAAATTCAGATATTTATGCTTGGAGCTTCTTGATTCATCAGTTTCTGAATACCTTTCTGCACTCATAATACAGTGGTACCTCAGGATACGAAATTAATCCGTTCCGAAACTGAGATCGTATCATGAAAATGTCGTAAGGTGGATCATCTTTTCCCATACGATTACATGTAAAACCAAATAATTCGTTCCAACGCGAAAAACATACTCAAATTAAAGCCAAGTAATACATTTAAAAAAATAACTGTAGTAAGAAAAACAAATGAAAAATGCGAACTAATGTAACGTCGTATGGTGAGTTTTTGTTCGTATCGTGGAGCAAAAATATGTTCGAATTTCATGTCGTATCCTGAAAATTTCGTATGCTGGGGCGTTCGTAACCTGAGGTACCACTGTATCTAGTGTGCAATGCCAAAAGCACAATTTATATAGTTGTGATTACAACTATATAAATTGTGTGCTTTTGGCATTGCATAAAAATATTTATTTTGCAAATATCAATATTTTCAACAGTATATAACTGTTCTCCTCAGGCACGATCATTCATAGAGAACAAAACATTTGAAAACTTTTTTATTATTAATTATGTATTTTATATTTTAGTAGTTTTATTTTTAATGTTTTTCTTTTACATATCATTGTAGTTTTGTATTATGGTATCATTTTGTAAATTGAATTTAAAATTAGATATATATAATGTACATGGAGTACAAACAATTTTATAAATTGTGCTTGTCTAGAAACTTGAAATGTAAATTAGTATGGGTAGTAAAATTAAATTTTATTTAGAAGAAAAGAAAACTGATTTCCCATCTTTTCTTTTTCTTTTAATAATCAAGATCTTCCTTCAAAAAACAGGAAAAGATCTATTAAATGGATTGAGTTAGGCAATTCTCAATAACAATGAAAATTGACTAGTCATTCTGATATAATTTTAAATGGACTATTTCAACTTGATATTGGGACCCTCATACTTGTAATGAAACATTAGTAGTATCATGGAATTACCATAACATTACACCATTTGAAAATATATATTAAAATTTGATTAATCATTATAAAAACAAACTTTTTTGCAGATTTTAGTGGAAGCTAATTTCTAATATAAAGCAACTTTGAGTACTTTTTCTTTTTCTTTACTTAAAGCTACTTCATGCATATACCAAAATAAGAAATTAGATATATTTAAAAATGAACCAGATTTAGATCTGAACAGTT